CTTGTTGTTGTTGTTGTATATTTTGATTAGCATATATGGTGTTCAAAAGGAAAAAAAAAAGTGGAAAGGAAAGGAATAGATTCTTGTCGATGATGATAATAGTTGTTAGAAAAAGGAAAAGGTTGGAAAAAAAAGCGCAGAAATGATGGACAGGTCTATCAGCGACGATGGTGATTTAAAAGAGTGCTGCTGATATATATATATATTTTCAGCAAAATTCTGTTGTAGCTATATACTTTTCAGCTTTGCTTTTTTTTTATATGATTTGTTTTTTTTTTGCATTTTCTGTGAATGCATTTGTTTGCATTTGTGTTAAGCCTTTTTTGGAGGAGTTAGTTGAATTTTTTAAACTTTTTGCACTCTGTCTTTTTTCTTGAACGAACAAATATGAACATAGTGGTGATGGTGGTGGTGGTGATGGTAGTGGTGGTGATGGTAGTGGTGGTGTGGATAGCTGTTCAAAAATCGACTGCGTTTCTTAGCTAATGACAATTTATTATTTCAGAAAAAAATAAGAAAAAAAAATATGATGACAGAAAATGTATTTCATTTCTTTCATTCATTTTTTTTTTTCGTTTTTCTTTATTGTCTTTTCTTTCGGTCTAAAAAAATTTTTTTTTCCTGCAAATAGCATGGAGATGTGTATGAAAAAAACACTAACGGAAGATGTGCATTACAGTTTTCTCTTTTTTTGTTTTGGTTAGAAAAGGAAGGAGGAAGAGGAAGGGAAAAGAGTTTCAGGTTTTTCATTTTTTTTGTAATCAGCAATTTTTGATACGGTAATCCTCGTCATCGTTACCTTTTTTCATAGATATATATACATATATGTCCTTTTTTTTTTTGTTCGATAAAATTTTTATAGTAAATTTTTTTCGGAACATTTTACAGATTTGTCTAATATATAGTTGAAATATAATGTTGTTGTTTGGTGAAAAGTCGGTTGATCGAGGAACAGGGATTTACCACGGTGAGGGGGTTTAAGAAAGAAAGATGGTCTAAATCTGTCATCAACTGGCCATAGTCTGTTGGCAGTTGCATACAGAAGTATAAAATGGTGAAAAAAAAAAAAAAGAAAAATGAGTATATGGATAAATTTTTTTAAAAAAAAATTTTTTCTTATTAAATTTACTCTGCAAACTTTTTTTGTTATGCAACATTATATTTACATTTATGGAGGTTTTCTTTTTTTTGTTCTTTCTTTTTGCTTTTTTGATTGTTTAACTAATTAAAAAGCGTCGTCGCTCAGTTATTAAAGATTTGCTTTTTTTGTTGTCGTTTTTTTTTTACGTAACTTTTTCGGGTTTTGTCAATGATTTTTTTTTTTTTGAGGTTGGTTTTTTTGAACAAACTCAAAATTTGTCTCTTGTTTTTTTTTAACGTCTATACGATATTTCATTAATGGTGTTGTTGTTATTGTTATGGTCTGAAGAAAGAAAACTAATTTTGTTTTAGCAAAGTTGAAAATGTTGTTTAAAAAAGCTGTATTTTTTTTTTCCTTTTGGTGTTTCTTTGTTTTATTTGATTTTGAATTCAGGATGCATCTATCTTGGCGAAATTTGCTTGACATTACGCCGCAAAAGTAGGTTATTATTTTTTTTTTTGGTACTATATTTCAATCATAAACCTTGAAAAAAAAAAAAAAAAAAAGAGAAGATTGAATTTTTTTTTATGTCGTTAATTCAATTAGTCAGATGAAATTTTTCCTCTTTGCATCAGCAATGAGAATTTTTTGCACATATTGGTTGTCAGGTCGTCCGAAGTTGTTGTTTTTTTCTGAGATCTCTACAAGTTCTTAAGAGCAATTTTTTCCTCTTGTTTTTGTACTGTAAATGCAGGAAAAACAGGAGAACCAATTATTAGATGGAAGTTAGTTTGTAAAGTAGTTATCCTATTTGTAATTAATACGTTTATCAATGCATTTGTTTAGTTGTTTATTTTAATGCTTTATACAATATATCAATGTAAAATTTGGGATATAATTATTTGAGAAGGGGAGGAGAAGAGAGGATGGTAGGGAGAGTAAGCAAGTAGTTAGTTGGGTGGATGAAGGGGGAGAAGGAAAAGGGAAAAAATGGCTTGGTTTTGGTTTCTAAATAACAATAGCAAATTTCTTTTATATTAGTTTAGGCTCTTTTGTGAATTGTTGGCTTATTAAACACTTTTTTTTTTTCAGTTATAATATAATTGATGAAATATCATATTTTGTAAATGTTTTTAGCCAAATTCCAAATTCTTTTTAGCCAAACTTTTTCTGTTTTGTTTTTAATTGTTTAAAATTAAGTATGTCTTTGCTTTTTCTCAGAAATATACCGATATATATCTTTTTTTTTTTTTTT